TGATCTCAGTAATGTGCTCCAGAAGGGTAAGCAGATCCTGCTTCACATTTGGCACCCATCGTGTTGTTCATATGACGCTCGAATAAAAAAAGGCAAAATAAAGTATGAAGTTGAAGAGCATTGAGGACCAAAAATTTCAAAAGATTTTCCAAATACAGGTAGATGTAGTCTATTCTTGGGTAAGAAAATCCTTCGTATTTCCAACAATTCAAAGTTTCAAACAGTTTATCAAATAGACCATGCCCCTTTGACGTACCCAGTCTAGTTTCATCATGGTATCATCAGCCCAGTAGGCGATACTTCGGTACTAGCATGAAAATATTGAAATTGTTTTTATTTGAATTTGCTGTTATAAAATTTGAAACCATTTTGAATCAAGAATATATTTCCCTCAGGCAACATTTGATTTTTTGTCCGGCATATTTAGGTATTTTTTTGTTTGATCAGCTCTTCAACGTTTGTACATGTTTGTTTGGTTGTTTTTTTTTTAATATTTTGGGCCTCGAACATCACTTATGAGACATTCATTGTCCACTCTGGTGTACTGTTAATGTTAATATTGTTGGAATTCACATCTGACGCAGATAAATTGGTATCGTTAATAATAATGTTATTTCATCTCAAGCTTCAGAATTGTTGACACAATTATGATTTAGATCAGTATCTTTAAATATAACGATAAATAACTGCTCATATTTTCAGACGGGGCAGGTGCTCTCGACTCCAATCTTAATTGACAAGGATTGTCAGTTTTCCTACATAAGTTCGCTGGTTCTCTTCGGGCACTCCGGCTTCCTTCACCAATAAAAACTGACCGCCACGAAAAAGCACAATAGTGTAGAAAGTGGCGTTAAACACCAATCAATCAATCAATCAATCAATCATATATTCAGCTCTTACAAATTATGGTATTATAAACATACTGGCATTAGAAGACTCTGACAACTTAAATAAGACACGGAAAGAATGTGTTCATATCATATTTACCGCATTTTGCCATAATATTTTAAAAATAGCTGATCACTTATATCATCAATAGGGTTTTGGGTTAATTGTTGGTCTGCACCCGTTGTGACATCGTCATATCGAGAACATTTAGGTGATTTTGTCTTGATTTGGTTCTGCAGGACATGATTTAGCTCAATATTTCTGGGATGATTGTGTTTGATTCCATGTAATTCTCATAATATAGAAATCCAAACATACATATTTGCCTAAACATGTAAAGTCGCCATGCAAAACGACATCTCACAAATCAACGAAATGACGAAGAATATACTGCCTTTACATAATATCGCCTCACCAGTCCAACAACACTGTTCATTCTAGTCCTAACCATAAGCATGAACATGTTTGCACCTGTCCTAAGTCAGGAACGTGATGTTCAGTGGTTGTCGTTTGTTGATGTGGTTCATAAGTGTTTCTCGTTTCTCGTTTTTTTTTTTATAGATTTGACCGTTGGTTTTCCTGTTTGAATTGTTTTGCACTAGTCATTTAGCTTGCTGTTCAGTGTGAGCCAAGGCTCCTTGTTGAAGGACATACTTTGACCTATAATTGTTTACTTTTTACACATTGTGACTTAGATGGATAGTTGTCTCATTGGCACTCATACCACCATCTTCTTATTTATATATTGCCTAAAGTTGCCATGCAAAACGACATCTCACAAATGACGAAAAATATACTGCCTTTACATAATATCACCTCACCAGTCCAACAACACTGTTTATTCTAGCCCTTACCAAAAGCATGAACATATTCTCTAAGAGGTTTTAACGCAAAAAGTAATACATGAATTTATTTCTTAATAAAATAAGATTGAATCAAATTACATATTACACGGCGTATATTCAGAACGCTTGCTTTCCGATTAAATCGACGGTAACGGTTGCTTTTCGATTCCGGAAACCCTTACTTTCCGATTTTGTACAAGAAAATTACAGAGAGGGTAGAAAGGTAGGTTGCTACAATATTAAAACAAATAATGAAGTATCAACTTTCTTGAATGAAATTGAAGTTGACGAAACAAAACAAATATACAGGTATTCATGATTTATTGTTTCTTTCAATGATAACTGAATGTGATTTCGTTGACAACAGAAATGCGTTGTCTTGTAAAACAGACTTTACAGCCAAACATATATATCCAAGTTTTAAAACTCTCATCCACATTTACTTAACTTTCTTAACATGTTTCATTGTAGAAAATCTTTTCATTACGTAATGTTTCAAGACTACTGACACAGCTGTGTTATCTAAAGCGAGTGAGGGCTTCAAACCTATATGATAGGGGTGTCATATTTTTCATATGATTTTTTCGACCTCAACATATATCATGGAGCTAGAAATAGTGATTTACTACTCGTTGGTAGTAAGTTCCCCCTTCACTGAGATGTTTTGCATCGAATAACGTCGCATACCAAAATATGTCCAAAGGACAATACCTATCTTTTCTTTTAGCATGATTGTGGTTGTTGTTAACCTTCTTATATGTTTTTGGTATAGATACCCAAAATTTGCTAAAATCTGTCAAAATTTCTGAATTATATCCCATGGTTTATAAATACTAGGTAATCTCTTCATAAAATACGCAAGTACACACATTGGGCCGTGATACTGTGATTGAACCATTACAGGTTGATTTTTTTTCAGAGCTTTGGTCAGATAACAATTATTTGATGTATTAATCCATTAATCTTTTGCGGGTGTTGTTATGTTTAATATATTTTTCATGTACTCTTTTGTGGATGTAGTCATAGTTCTATATTTTCCCGTTTATTGTGTTGTGTTTTTTCTTTCTTTAAAAAGTTATCATTAAAATGTAGTATTTTAAACACACAAGTACCAGAAATTATTTACCCTTTTGGAACACATGACTTGTTTTTATAATTTGTTTTTGTTTGAGGTTATTTTGGGGATTTTGTTTTATTGCTTTATTTTTTGTGTTTCATATAAAATTTGGTTTGTGTTGTAGATTTTATTTTTCTACCAAGAGAAATTATCATACACAAAGTATGATAAAAAAAAAAATAACCTAAATGTAATGGGTGCCGATTTGAACATTTTAATCTTTACTATGCATTTTATTAGAGTGAAATATCCCATTGCCGATTAAGCCAGGCGCAAATTTGACTTGTTAGCTCTGCTGTGTCGTAGTGTGTTAAAAATTAAAAAATCGAAAACAAAAACAAATTTTATAATCTGCATGTGTTTCAATGACCAGCAAATAGTTCCATCTGAAAGAAGTCGTTTCCTGAAAATCGGAAAGCAATCGTTTCCCAGAATGAAGGTAAACAATCTGAAAGACAGCGTTTCCTAAGATCTTTTTCAACGGGCATTTATGGTAAGATTAAATGAATTTCGAGAAACGGAACAGTATTAATGATAGGAAAGTCAATAGAGGATTTGAAACCCGAGTTAATTTTAAATATTTTAAACAGTTTCATTTAAAAAAAAATGCATTCTTGTATTCAATTGTTTACAGTGTTGCGTTTGTGGTCCCGTTTACGACTTGAATACACATTTCTATGGTGACATGCAGTACATTTTATCAAGAAAAATATTCCGTGAGATACAATAGAGAACACCATTTACCATCTGATTTAAGTATCATTCATCCTCATTTCGTGTCTCCTGCTTCTTCGTCAACAAAATTCTGAAAGCAAGCGTTACGCGTATCGGAAAGCAAGCGTTATCGTCGATTGGATCGGTGTGTGTATTATAAATTGCTAAGACGTTGAATGACGCCATACTCGTGTTCAGCTGTTGAATCATAGCTTATTTCTATTATATTATTATTACAAAAACATTTCATGAGCAAGAAAATATCTATTCAGTCTTATATCACATTGTACATAATATGCCACCGATGCGATGACGACGGCGGGATAGTTATAGGCATCAATGAAACTAGGAGGTTCACATTGATGTGTTTAACAAAAAGTGTATTTCTTCTCGTTACGTGTACTAGGTTTTTTATTGTCCGTCAGAAACTCGACTCTACGTAAAATACCGCCTAAAATTTTTACTTTGTTCACTGTCAATAATTGAAAAGGACATACCGATCGAGAATTTTGTTGTCGTCATGTATTTTGTTTAGCTTTTTTTTGCTTATAAAAAAATTTGCACCAGGAAAATAAATTCAAATTTGAACGATGACAGTAAAAATATAAGATGTGATATGATTGCTATATATACCGTACAGTAAGCTATAAAACTAACCGGCATGACAAAATGAGATCAATTCAAAAAGAAAAACAAAAGGAAAGACAGCATGCAACTGCAACCACTAAACTACAGGATCCTCATTATTGACAGACACAAAAAGAATGTGGCGAGGTTAAACTTTTTTTAGAGCGCCTAATCTTTCCCTTACCAGAGACAGTGGTGTAATAGCACAACGCAAGACCAAAAGTAAAATCTAGTTGAAAATGTCTTTGGTCATTCAAACGGTATTATGTACAGAAACAACTTATGAAATATATAAAAGACACAAATTACCGATACAATAGTCACCGCAGTGAATAAAAATTAGTCCAAAATCAATGAAAACTAATAGAATATAATCATCCGTTCTCAGATGTAAATATTATTAATAAGAACACATTCCAAGAATTAATCGTGAAAACCTCACAGTTAAAGAATCCTGTGGTTGCAGTTGTATGCTGTCTATTATTTTGTTTTTCGTTTATTGTTTTGTGCATAAATCAGGCAGTTGATTTTCTCATTTGAATTGATTCACGTTTTGTCATGTCGGGTTTTTGTAATACATGTAGCTAACTATACAATTTGGGTTTTGCTCATTGTTAAGATCAGTTCGGTAACCTATACATGCTATAGCTGCTTACATCAACGTCATTTTGTATCTGCTAGATATTTGCCTCATTGGCAGTTCTTCCACGTCTTATGTTTATACTTTGCAATGTCAAAAATATAAGTATGGATAAAATGTACTCTTATCATGTATCCAAGGACAATAGATGTTCAGTTTTACTTAGGAATACATATTAAGTTATGTTTTATTTATTTTTTAAAATAAATGTGACATTTGAGTGTTTTTCGTCACTATCACTATCCCACCTGTATATGTATCACAGGGTTATTTGATTCTGTTGGCCACACTAGTTTGTTTTGATGTCTCATCATCGTCTTTATCACGTTCATCGCTTTCACTATCCGTTTCACTAGTATCGTCGTCATTTACGTTTTCCTCGGTTGGCTCATCGGTTTGCGCATCGGTTGGCTCATCGGTTGGATCAGAGGGTATAAGGCCTCCTGTACATAGAAGTATATTAAGATTAAGAAAACAGAAATTCAGTTTGCAAATAGTAAAATAAATACCTTCGTCTACATTACAAGATAAATTTAATAGATTAATAAATGTATGACTGTTAAATTATCATTGACAAATACTACATGCATATTTGCCTGTCCCAAGTCGGAGCCTGTCGTTCATTGATAGCCTTGGTTAATTTATGTCATTTTTCTTTTCCATATATTGTTTTGTTATAAATAAGACCGTGTTGTTAATTGAATTGTTTCATATGTTTCATGTCGGGTTCTTTTTTTAACGACTATACGGTACTGGGTTTTCTCATTGTTGAAGGCCGTACGGTTGCATATAAATGCGAACATCCACTTCATTTGAACTTTGGTGGATATATATATATATATGACACTAACATGAAAATAATGTAAAGCATTTATATAATCCGTCACGTGTTTGAAATTTGAAAGTTCGGGGTCTTTATGGCTTGCTATGCAGTATGGGGTTTTCTCATTGGTGAAGACCGTACGGTGACATAAAGGACTTTCCAGAAACTCACATCCAAAAGCCTGAATCTGATTTATTTTATAATTTATGATTGAATACGTATTTTTACCTTTGTTTGCGCTGCAGTGTAGAGTAACGATGAGAAGAAGAATCGAAAATCATGTATTAATCTAGTTTACAAACATTTCCAGTTTTGTAATCGAATTTGTTAACGAGTATATTGGAAGAAAAAAAAAACCTTTTTGTTATCTATTTATTTAAACTAAATATTATCTTTAAATCAACGGGGGTTTAAAACCTCTAATAGTTTACTCTTCATGATTTCCTGGAAAGGGCTATAGTTGATAACTTCTATGCGACTGTCATACAAGTGAGAGGTTTAGGTAGCTATAAAACCAGGAACTTTAAATATACAATTATCCAACAGGTTCATATTAAATAATGTTAAAGGACAAATAGGAAAACGGTCAAAATTTGTTGATAAATAAATCTGACTTGTTTTAAATATGAATAGTTGTTAACTGACAACATCTACCCAACTGTATAAGCGTTCGACAGAAATGTCGAAACATCGGCATGGAATCCCAAAGTCCATCATCACCGTAGGCATGTATTGTGTCTCATAAGTCAACTTTGATTTACTTTAGTAGTATTCATTGTATTTTATTTCTGTGCGATGTTTATCATATTATAGTAATTATTTTATATTTTTTTAGACAAATGTGTGACACTTTAATAAAATCAATAATTAGTATTGCATCAATACTTTTGAATAGCTTGGTATATTTGAACCAAAAGAATTATTAAAACTGTTTTACTGGTTATCAGATTCTCACCGATTTAACTCTCCTTTTTAAATTCCCAAAATCATCTTATCGCATCTGCACATTTTTTATACTCACATTAAATGTTTTTATGTGTGAAATATATTTTATCCAACGCAATCATAGGTTCGAACGTTGTTTTCAATTTAGACTTGTTAATATATATATAAAAACGTACTTATGTATATATATATATATTTACAAGTCTAAATTGAAAACAACGATCAAACCTATGATTGCGTTGGATAAGAACCACAATTTTTATACGTGTGCATGCAAAACAAATTTCTTGGTAGAGGGGTCTAAATACAGCACAAACAACATTTTCCAAAAGACCAAATGAGTGAAAAAGTATATTTTAACAAAACGCATTTGACTAGCAGGTCGAACAACTGATGTTCCTAAACCCTGCTGACTGCCATTGGCGATTGCCAAATAAACGGATCACAAGATATAAAAAATAGATCTTATTATTAATTTATTACCAAACAGAAAACAATATTTGCGGAAAAGATGGTTTACCGCAAACAAGAGGTGCAAAAATTTGTACACCATATCCGGATTTCGACAATTAATGTCTCTTCAGTGATGTTAGGAATCGAAACGGTATTTGGAAGGCTATATAATTTACCTCAATTTAGGATAGACTCTTAAATTTTGAAAGAGTCAAAATAGGATGAACGGATCATATAAAACCGAAGGCAAATATAATACAAGCCCAAACGAAAAAATATAAACAAGTCTAAATTGAAAACAATGTTTAAACCTATGATTGCGTTGGATAAAAACCGCAATTTTTATACGTGTGCATGCAAAACAAATTTCTTGGTAGAGGGGTCTAAATACATCACAAACAACATTTTCCAAAAGACCAAATGAGTGAAAAAGTATATTTTAACATATATATATATATATATATATATATATAAGTACGTTTAAACCATTGACGACTCTACAACAGATTTTATCCTTCGGATCACCAGCAGTGATGGTGATACAAGGCTGAAAATACATTCTGTATATATAATTCGTGCATGAATTCGAATCCCGGCCAGGGAAGAACAAATAATTTGCTTCCACAAATTTACAGATCTAACATTGTTGGGCTGTTGTTTAGACGAATTATATATATATATATATATATATATATATAGAGAGAGAGAGAGAGAGAGAGAGAGAGAGAGAGAGAGAGAGAGAGATTATACCACTGTATCGAGTGTGATACGATATTTATCCACTCGAGACAGTTAAATTTAAATATTTAAATTTAAACTGTCGAGAGTGGATAAATATCGTATTGAACAAGATTTGGTGGTGGAATCTGTTTCACTTATGATTTTTTATACGATATGCAGACACATTCAATCCTTCCTTTCAAATGATATGCAAAAAGGATGTCTTCTTTCTATGTGACATCATTAGGCATGGTCGCTTTTTTTTCAAGACGTTACAATAAGAAATTCAAATTCGAATTTTCACCAATGAAGATCTGAGATCAAACGAACCACACGTTGATTAAATAAAAAATAATCAACAGGTCACGAAAAGGATAAATTGTGTAAGAATTAGAGAAACATATATATAATACTACAACACTTTATGTATACATACCTGCAACAATGTTAACTATAAATACAGTCAGAATCACTATAACAGCCAACTTCCCCATTGTGAAAGATTTGCTGTTTACACTATAAGTCTTCGAACGTCCTCGTGCAAATGTTACCTGAAAATACATGTCCTTTTATAACTCATTAGAGATATGTGTATAATTAATTAAACAAAAAATATATTATATGTATGTACAAAATTAATTTCTATAATTTATTACATTAACTTTGCATGTAATACAATCTATTCAGTTCTGTTGCCCTTTGGTCTTATCTTGGTGTATATATGTTTTCTAATTGGCAATTATACCACATCTTATTTAAATATTCCTAAATGAATTTATCATTTTATATTATAAAATTATCAGATTGAGATAGAAAATGACATCTTGATGTAACATGAGAAATATTTAGCACTTTTCAAATATGAATTCTAAACAGGTTTTGAATATAAGTTCTTCACTATGTATTTTAAGTAAAATGAAATTTAAGCAAAATTGAACAACCTTCGCATACTGTATATGCACATAATGTTGACTTGAGTACAGAAATAAAGTCATCCCGACCTCTTCAGTCCGATCAAAAACTCTGATTGTGAGATAGTTTTTGTAATAAAGTCACGTCCGGACTGCAGACATGTGTTACAAAGGTGCCATGTAGTTTCTAAGAGAACTATTGGAATACTTGTGGTATTCCGTCTCCTTTTGCAACACAAAATGTCTGACTCTAAAGATAATGCATTTGTTTTGTATATAGGTTGGACCGTCTGTTTTTCTGTTCGAATTGTTTTACACTTAAGTCAAATTGGGGCCTTTTTTAGCTTGCTGTTCGGTGTGAGCCAATGCTCTGTGTTGAAGGCCGTACTTTGACCTATAATTGTTTACTTTTTACACATTGTGACTTGGATGGAGAGTAGTCTCATTGACACTCATACCACATCTTCTTATTTTTTTCTATACACCAATTCAATACCTTAATTGCAGAGCCAGAATCAAGTAATTCAATTGATATCTTAATCTTCTGCTTATCAAAATGTTTTTTGATAATCCTCGTCCTATAATGGTATTTCTTACAAAACAGATTTCAAAATGAGAATATAAGTTCTATCTAAATCTGATAATAAAACTACATGTATCACAATGATGTTATAATTAGAACTTCAAAATGCTGTCATATATGTTTTGAGATGTTTTTTCCTGAGGCCCAATTAATTAGCTGCAATATTATTTATTGCAATGAAGGTATACTGTCATTTTGCACATTCTCGTCAATAAATAACATGACTGCATCTGCTGTCTGTTAATATGTTTGTCATCTGCTACACAGGGAACTACTTACTTAATAAACTTGAAAACCTGTGTCGCTCACCCTGGTCTATGTGCATATACAACAAAGGACACTCTTTATCATTGTAGACGAGAATAGAAGTCACGACTAAAATATCTGTTTTGTTGATCTTGTATTGCTGATTATTTAATCTTTTTATTTTCTCTCTATCTTCTTTAATTTTTGCTCAAAACACAGTGACAGTCTACTAACTACATGTATATTGGCAAATTTTGACTTGTTAGTAGCTCCCATGCTCAGTGTTGTTTATTTTAAATAACATTTTGCATCTGTTGGGGCATCATTTGTGTGTCCCAGACACAATAATATCTCAAAGAAAGTCCTACATAGACCTTGCTTCAATACAGTAACTTCAGAGTGGAGTGTGTGGCATCACTTTGTCTATTTGTAATTTAAAGTAAAAAAGAAGATGTGGTATGACTGCCAATGAGACAACTCCCCACAAGTGACCAAATGACACAGAATTTAACAATAGGTCACCGAGAATTCTTCCTCAGACTGCCAAGATGGCCGATGGTCATTTGACCCGATATAAACATACACATTAATTTAGATTGAAAGACAAGCCCGTACAATAGTATAATGCCGATTTGCTATGTCCGTTTGATTTCATACCATATATCTAAAAATATTTAATCATTTTTTTTTCTTAAGCTTGTATATGAATATTTTTTTTTGGGCCGAATTAGTCAACAAAATCGTTGTTAATGAGGTCGAAATGTTATAATACGCCAGGAATGTTTCTGATTTACTAAATTGAACCAAACTGGCTGCTAAAAGCCATTTATTATTTAGATATTCGCTTTAATTAATGTTTCATACACATACACGTTATATAATCGTAATATAATCGTAGTATAATGTTTTGTTCATATTTGAGCGAAATTGAAAAAAACAAATGTTTGTCCGTTAAAAGAAAATAAAATACCTCCTCCCTCATCAAAAGAAGAATTGTTGGTCCATCAGCAATAAAACTGCTTAAGAAATACTGTAAAACAATGAGAGACAGCGAGAATCACGTGAATCCAAACAAAAAAAATCTCACTACCTACATTTACACGTTGTTCATCATATCTTGTAAAATTAACAAAATCGTTCGTTTGCATTGTTTTACATTTGTCATTGCGGGGCCTTTTATAGCTAGTTCATTGTTTAAGGTCGTCCAGTGACCCATAGTTGCTAACTTTTACGTCATTTAGTCTCTGGCGGAGAGTTGCCTTATTAGCAATGACACCACATCTTCTCATTTTCATATTAAACTTTTTGACATTATACACAATTCTTATTTTTTCAGATCAATCCTTTAAACAATTACTTTGTAATATTTTTTTCATATTATGTATCATATACTTATAAGAAATACCTTGATAAAAGCTCAGCATTTTTTGCTCGCTGCAAACGAACTGAAAAGGCAATCTCCCGTCCTTGAGTATTTGTTGTGTACATGTTTTTGCTAGATATTGTTTCGTAAAAAAATGGATCTATTGGTACCAGACAAAACTTTTCGTTTATTGTTTTGTACATGAATTAGACCACAATTTGTTTTTTGAAGTGTTTTACATTTGTCATTTTGGGTCTTTTATAGATTACTATGCTATATGAGGTTTGTTTTTTGTTGAAGGCCGTACCGTATCCCATAGTTGCAATTGCTAACTTCCAAGTCAATTGTCCTCTGTTTGATAGCTGCCCAATTGACAATCATATCATCTTCTTATTTTTATATCATTTTTCTTTTAATATATAAAATATGAACTTTTCCATACATCTGTGAACAACAATATATGAATATAAAAATAATCCTGCATTGAAGTGTTTTGTTCTGTTTGCATGACATTCAAAGTGTAACCATGATAAATGCATGTTGTTGTATAAAACTGTATAGACAAAAAAAAGTGAAATGAAACCAATAAGATATGTAATGCTTTAGGTAACAATTTAAACCGAAGAGTATGCTAAAAACAAATAAAAACAAGAAATATCATCGTGAAAGGTTATCTATGCAATGATACAGAACATTGTGTAATAAGCGAGAATATTCAATCTCACTGAAACGAACAAAATGTATCTTCTTTCCATCAATTTTGTCAATGATTTTTAATAGAAGGAGATGTGGTTTGATTGCCAATGAGACAACTATTCATATGAGAATAAGCAATTAAAGGCCACTATTACTGTACGACATTGAACAATGAGAAAAACCCACATAGTAAAGTCGGTTATGAAGAAATGCCCCGAGATGAAAAATTGTAAAACAAGGAGCAAGAAAACTAACGACCTACATTAAAACTGAGACCGTGCACGTTTTTTTGGTAGGGTTTGTGTTTTTCGTTCTTTATTTATCTTTTTTTTGTTTTGTATAATGTTGTTTGTCTTTTAATCTTTTTTTTTCTATTTTTGCCGTGGTGTTGTCAGTTAATTTTCTATCTATGAGTTTGAATATACCTTTAGTAATATCAACAACATACACAGATACCAGGATGAAAAAATGTGTACGCCAAACACTGATGTCGTCTACAAATGATTCCTCCTTAGCATGCATAACATATTTGCCACTGGACGCTCGAATAAAAAAAGTAAAAAAAAAAGCCCAATCGAGTGCGAAGTTAAAGAGTATTGAGGAACCAAAATTCAAAGTATATCTAGCAAAAATGTCTACCAAGTAATTTTATCAGCTGCTGAACAATCTCACTGTAAAACAAATAAACAAGACAATCATAATGTAACAGCATGACACTTCATTGTATGTGTTATATAATATGCCAATTTTTTTATTATAATGAAGGTACGCTGTCATTTTGCACAGCCTTTTCAATAAATAACATGTGCGTCTGCTGTCTGTTAATATTTTCGTCATGTGCTACAGTGAACTACTTACTTAATAAACTAGAGGCTCTAAAGAGCCTGTGTCACCCACCTTGGTCTTTGTGCATATACAACAAAGGACACTCTCGAACATTTTAGACGAGAATAGACATGACAAAAATCTCTGTTTTGTTGATCTTGTATTGCTGATCATTTAATCTGTTTAGTTTCTCTCTATTTTATTCAGTTTTTGCTCAAAACACAAAACAGGATAAACAAATTCTCATTTAGGGGCAATCACTCCTATATAAAGTGACAGCCTACTAACTTTATAGGCAAAATTTGACTTATTAGAAGATCTCGACTTGGTGATCATTTTTATGCCCTGGCAACTGAAAGTTGGGGGCATATTGTTTTACCCCTGTCTGTCCGTCCGTCTATCCGTCTGTCCTTCCGTCCGCCCTTCCGTCTGTTCTTCCATCCATCCTTCCGTCCGTCCTCTTATGGGTATATAGCTATTCCAGATTACTCATCCTACAGTTTGAATGTTAGAAAGTTTTCACTTTGCTGGCTGTTTGTACATATACTGAAAGTGTACATGTGGTAAGGGTTTTGATTTTTATTAATATTTGTTCTTTTGAGAGATAGTTGAACTTTGTCATTTTTTGGGCATTTACTTGTGTAAGAGGTGCATAGCGTTTCCAGATAATTCCTCTTACAATTTGAAAGGTAGGAAGTTTTCACGTTGCTGGCTGTTTTTACATATATTGAAGGTATGCATGTGGTTAGGGTTTTGATTTGTATTAATATTTGCTCTTTTGGAAGATAGTTGAACTTTGTCATTTTTTGGAGTATTTACTTGCATAAGAGGTGCATACCGTTTCCGGTTAATTCTTCCTACAGTTTGAATGCTAGGACGTTTTCACTTTGCTGGCTGTTTGTACATATATTGAAGGTGTGCATGTGGTAAGGATTATGATTTTTAATAATATTTGCTCTTTGGGAGATAGTTGAACTTTGTCAG